GATTCATGCCGGTGCACCCCATTTTCTGTGGACGTTCACCATTCGCTACGCCGCTCACCAGCCTAACCTCTGGCCATGCTCTCAGCGGCCGCAGGTTTTGCCGACCCTTCTTTGGACCGGGTTCCCTGGTGAAGTGTCTGCGTTCCACGTCTTGGGCTACCTCGCTCACGTTCGTGCCTCCGGTACGGACAAGCTCACTGCTCGCACTGTCCCCTGTGTCTTCCTTGGTTTCCCCCTTGACTCGTCTGATTGGCACTTCTACCACCCGCCATCTCACCGCTTCCTTCACTCCCGTGACGCCACTTTCGACGAGTCTGTCTCCTTTTACCACCGCTTTCCTCACCGAGGTCTCCCGGTTTCCCCTTCCCTGTTTCTGGTTCCCACTCCCCCGGTCGCCCCTGCACCCCTCCCTTCCCGTCCTGCTCCGTCTGGTGTGTTTCACGTCACTCCCCTCCCGTCGGTTGTCCCGGTCGATGAGTCGGCTGACTCTGGTGGCCCCGCGATGCAGTTTGCGCCACCTGTCCCTTCCGCGGTGTCTCCTCTTCCCTCGTCGCAGTCGCCGCTGCAGCTGCTGCAGCGGCAGGACCCGCAACCGCAGCCGTTTGTGGACTCTGGGGGTGCTAGAGTTGAGGAGGGTGCTAGTCCCTGGGCTCCTATCGTGGCTTGTCCCGGTGGGCTCGGGGGTGGCACCGGCGCTGGAGAGGGTTCTCGCTCTGGGGGTGCTGACGTGGAGTGTACCGGCAGTAGCAGTGGTGCAGCTGGTGGTCCAGGTGTCTGCGTCGAGCAGCAGCAGCAGCAGCAGTCGCCGCCGGTGTCCGCCCTTCGCCTGCTCGGCCTTCCCTCCCGTGGCCGCTCGCCTTTGCCTCCCTCGCCGTCCTCTCCTCTTCCTGTGCACGGTCCTGTGTTTCCTCCGCCGGACTCGTCCCCAGCTCGTTTCCCCCCTTGTTCCTCTACTATTACCCCTCCTCTGTCTCCTTACCTGACGCCTCCGTCTCACGTCTAATCTCGCCGTCCCTCTCGTGCTCGTCCTGTCCCTCCTGTTCAGCGTTCTATGTTGCTTCGTTCCCACGAGTCTCGTCCTCCTCTTTTGCCTTCACCTCCGTCGTCGCTCGCTGTCGCGCCTCCCCCTCTGTCGGACTACCTTCATGCTGCTCGACCTCTTGCCCTCCCTTGTTACGGACCCATCAGTTTCTGTCTCCAGTCTTTACGCTCTTCTCGCTGCTGTCGCTGACTTCACCTCTACCCGCCACCGTGGCCGAGCTGTCGTGGCGGCGTGGACGCGCTGCCGTGGCATTGTCGTGCTGCCGCGGCGGCTTCGATGCGCATGCGCACGGACGGCTGCTGCCAGCTCGCACGGACGGCTACGGCTGCACCAGCGCACGGACGGCTGCGGCTGCGCCAGCGCGCACGGACGGCTGCGGCTACGCCAACGCGCACGGACGGCTGTGGCTGCGCCAACGCACTGACGGCTGCGGCTGCGCTAGCGCACACGAACAGCTGCGGTTGCGCCAGCGCGCACGGACAACTGCGGCTGCACCAGCGCAAGGACGGCAGCGGCCACCGCGCTGGTTTAGCGCCAGCCACCATGCCCGCACGCCAGCCAGCTCACCAGCTAGGGTGGCTCGCTAACTGGCATCTCCGCCGCAGACCCTCCCCCTCGTCTGCATTCTATGAGAGTACGACCCCGTTACACCACTTGGCCTTTCCTTCCTTCCTATTTCATTTCTCTTTTTATCTCATCTCATTTGGTTTCCTCTCCTCTCTTTTCCATTAACCATTGGTTTATCCTGCTATTATAATTATATCACCGACCAGGCTTGGGATGTACTGGTGCGCTATATCTAGCATAATCTGTCGTAATCCCTTAAAGCCAATAGATAAACCTGGTTACCTGATGTACTATGGAAGTATAAAAGCGCCTTGTACTCATTGATAGTGCAATCTTTCCTCGAGTCATTCGATCCTGTGACACTTGGTAATCAGAGCTTTTCTCACTCGGCCGCGCTCAACAAAGCAGCAGCAGTGGGAAAACCTGCCTCGAAAAACCGTCGGGGGCGACCAATTCGACGCCGATTCTGGTAAGCACCAGCTCCGCGTTTTTTCGAATCACCCCCCCCGCGCGTGTTTTGAACAAGATGGCAACCTTCGACAATGCCGAGGTTACCCAGCAGCTCTTCGCGCACATCGCAGCCCTTCAGGAGGAGATGCGAGCCGATCGCAAAGCGTGGCGAAATGAGTTCGAATGAGTAACTCGACTCGCCGGAGAGCAGCGCGACTCGACAATGGCGACGACGCAGCAGTCGCAGCAGTTTCTCGAGGCTCCGAAATCGCGCCCACCTGAGCCGTTCGATCCGAGCAATCGAAACTCCGACGCCCGCAGATGGATCGCCGGGATGGAGATCTACTTCGCAGCCGTCGGATGGAGCTCGCCAGTCTGGGACGGACAACGCGTACGACTCGCGGCGACGCTGATGCGAGGGTTGGCACTCGTGTGGATTGGCAGCAACAGTACCTTCATCCACGGTGAAGCCACGTGGCAGCAGTTCCGCGCCGACCTGCTGAAACGCTTCGAGCCGATAAATTCGGGGTTCCTTGCCTGGGAAAAAATTCATCGACATCGACAGTTTGGGAGTGTAGCGTAGTACACGCAGCCGATGGAGGAATTTTATAACCGAATTCCCGACCTGACCGAAGGGGAAAAAGTACAGTCGTACCTCGCTGGGCTGAAGACCGAAGTCAAAGGACAAGTGGCAGCGTTAATCTACGCGAGCTACAGTGACGTTGTTTCGGCAGCGGAGCGCTTCGACATGGTCAACGCCTAGACACGACGGACGCACGTCAGCAGTATGCGACAGGGCGACCGCTCGGCTCACCCCACGTTCGCCGACCCGATGGAAGTCGACAGGTTTGAGGGGCGGCCACGTCCGAAAAACACCAACTACACCTTCGAATTTTCGACTGCAACAAAATGAAAGCCGCACGCGCAGAGTATCGGGCACGCAACAGTGGCGGAATGCCTTCGGCCAATCAGAAGACAAAAAGCGGGAGTCGCCAGTGATTGCGAATCTAGCTGGCGAAAATAAAAAGATCCGGAAGAGGCCGCGGGATTCTGGGAAAATCAACTTCGATGAAGCTGATTCGACGCGAGAAGGAGGAAATGATGGGGGAAAATCTCCACCCCACGACCAGTCTTCGCCAGGGAAAATCCCCGAGGGAAAATACGACTCCGCGAAAAAAGACTCTGCCAAGACGGGGAAACTCCTTGAAGACCCAAGAAATTATAAGGATTCATTAGAGTTATCTTATGAAGATGCTTGAATGAAAACTTATGATTTTCGAGGGGCTAGAGCCTTGGAGAAAATTCGGGAAGGACTCCAAAAGAAGCAGAAAGCTGTGGAGATTATACCGGTACGGGACAACTTGGGGAAAAAATGAAGGAGTCTGGAAAGAAGCCGACCTTTCCACGGAGTCAACGCCCTCTCCCGACACCAGCCCACAACGACTAGCCGTTCCCCAGGGAAGACGTCGGTGGAGCTGAAGCAGCTTAAGTGGAAGCTAAGGGTCTACAAAAAGCTGCACAAACCCCGAACTCCTCCTCCGGATGCATCCAGCTCTTCGGCATCAATGACACACACAGTCGTCAAGGAAACTCCGAGCCCTGGAGAAGAACCGTTCTCCAAGCAGCCTCGGCCAGCTGCCAGCTCAGGAGTAGATAGCAACACAAAGGTGTGTACAGAATATTGGGATGTACCCTATGACCCAATCAATGAAACCATCTTTGGGTACTCCGAGCAATGCCTGCCCCTCGTGCTCGAGGAGATCTGCAAAGGACGACGCCTCCAAGCACTCGTGGACAGCGGAGCATCACACACCGTCTGCGACAAGGCAGTAATCGACCGACTTCGGGAAGAGCACAAGCCTTCAGGATTCTCTGCAACGATGGTGGACGGAAGCAAGTTACCAATACACGGCGAAGCAGTGCTACACCTACAAATCGGACCACTGCGCTGGAAACCTGCACTTCCCATCACCAACATCAAAGGGCTTGACTTGATCTTCGGGCGAGACTTCCTAAAAAGATTCAACCCCGAGATCAACTGGGTGAACCGCACTGCAAGCATCTACAACAATGGACGGAGAGTACAGCTACCCAACTGGGACGATGCAGGAGATATCCCAGTGGAGACACTCGCACGATTCGAGAAGGACGTGAAGCGAACTAATACTGAGTTCTTGGCGATAGCAATAGAGGCGGAGAACGACAGGGAAAAGACATCGGAACCTTCGGAAAAAATCAAGGAATTATTGAAGGAGTTCCAAGACATTCTTCCTGACGATCTTCCGAACGAGCTACTGCCATACCGAACGCATCAACACGAGATCGTGGAGGAACCGGGTTCAAAGCCGACCTTCCGATCACCATATCGGCTCAGCCCTACGGAGCTGACCGACATGAAAAAACAGATCGAGTATCTCCTAGCCAAAGGACTCATCTGACCATCCACTTCACCATACGGTGCCCCAGTACTCTTGACACCGAAACCGGACGGAAGCCTATGCACGTGCATCGATTACCGGGCTCTTAACAAGCAGACCATTAAGAATAGATATCCGATACCGCAAATCGATGTCCTGCTTGACCAGCTTCGGGGAGCTACGGTATTTTCCAAACTGGATCTGCGGTCCAGATACTGGCAGATACGGATGGCGGACAACTCTATCCACAAAACTGCTTTCCGAACTCGGTATGGATTGTACGAGTATTTGGTAATGCCGTTCGGACTCACCAACGCACCGGCAACGTTCCAAGCCGAAATGAACCACATTCTACGACCACTTTTGGACGAGTGCGTGGTGGTGTACCTGGACGACATCCTCATCTACTTGCGCGACATGAAGCAACACGTCGAACACCTGCGACGTGTCTTCGAAATTCTTCGACGAGAACGATTCTACGTCAAACTGTCCAAGAGCGAATTCGCCCTTGAGAAGGTCCAGTTCCTATGACACATGGTGAGCACTCAAGGAGTTCACGTCGACCCCAAGAAAATCGAAGCCGTACGTACGTGGAAGACACCCGAGAACGTGAAGGAGTTGCAGCAGTTCCTAGGCTTCGCTAATTACTACAACAGGTTCATGCCACAGTATGCGAAACTCGCAGCACCACTCATGAATCTGCTGAAGAAGAACACGCCCTACAAATGGGAGCCGAAGCACCAGGAAGCCGTGGAGCAGCTGAAACAAGCACTTACGTCCGCACCAGTACTCATCTTGCCAGATCCCGAACGCGACTACGTAATCGAAGCTGACGCCAGCGACCAGGCAGTGGGAGCAGTCTTAATGCAAGACCAGGGGAATGGACTGCAACCAATCGCCTACCTGAGCAAGAAACTGCACGGGGCAGAACTAAACTACCCGATACACGACAAAGAGGCCCTTGCCATCGTCATCGCCTTCAAAGCGTGGAGATGTTATCTCGAAGGACGAAGAACAACCGTCTACACCGACCATTGCAGCCTGAAATACTTGAAGACACAACCCAACCTTTCCAGGCGGCAGGTCCGGTGGATCGACTTCCTCAAGACACACTTCCACTACGACATCGTGTACAAGCCCGTCCACAAAAACAAAGCAGACGCCCTCAGCCGGCCTACACACGTTGCCGCTATTCAGATCGAAGGGATGAATCCACTTCTCAAGGGACTCTTCACACACGGGTATGCCATTGACCCCGAAATTCCCTTGGCAAAAAAGCGACATCTGCTACAGTGGGACAGTTACATCGCGTACCGGAAAGGATCAACAAAAACCTGGGTACCCAATTACCCTCCTTTGTGCCAGTTACTACTCGAAGAATACCACGACGTCCTCTACGCCGGACACTTCGGTAGCAATAAGACGCTGACCGGTATTGCGAAACACTACTACTGGCCCCACTTGGCAGAGGATGTTCAGAAATTTGTCACCTCGTGTGATACATGTCTGCGGATGAAGAGCAGCAAGCAGAAAAAGGCGGGACTACTGCAGCCTTTTCCTGTCCCAGAACAGCCATGGCAAGTGGTTAGCCTGGACTTCATCACCGGGTTACCACCTACCACTAGCGGTCATGACGCAATCCTTGTCGTCATCGACAAGTTCTCCAAAATGGGCCACTTCATTCCGAAGCACACGACAGCACGCACCGAGGAGACAGCACAACTATTCGTTCGATACATCATCTCACAGCATGGCATTCCAACCACACTTATCTTCGACCGAGACCCCAAGTTCACCAGGAACTCATGTCTCTGCTCGGGACCAAACTCGCCATGTCATCTGCTTACCATCCGCAGACAGACGGACAGACCGAGCGACTCAACCAGATTGTTGAGCAACTCCTCCGAGCAGCCTACAAGGACGAGATCTCCAAATGGGACTTGCACCTGCCTGTTCTAGAGTTTGCTTACAACAACGCTACACATGCCGCTACTGGACAGACGCCGTTCTTCCTCTGCTACGGACGCCACCCACTCACACCATAGAAACCGGCCACATCCGCTACAGTCCAACCTGCGCATGATTTCATCACAACCATGCATCAGCTTTGGGATCGGACCCACAAGCGCCTTCTCGACATTCAGCAGCAACAAAAGCGCCAGGCCGATCGCCAACGCAACGACCACACCATCACAGTGGGAGACCAGGTGCTTCTTGACACCCGCAACCTGGACATCAGCCACCTCCCATCTAAACTTCGACCTCGCTTCTGCGGGCCTTTTCTCGTTGAAGCACAGGTCACTCCTGTTACCTTTCGCTTACGCCTGCCAGCTACCTGGAAGATTCACAACGCCTTCCATGTCCAACTTCTGAAGCCCTATCGGGATCCAAACACGATCTTCGTCGGACGCCAACCGCCGTCGCCGCCGCCCGTCCTCGTCCAGAATGAACCCGAGTACGAGGTCGAGTCCGTGCTTGCACACCGCCGTCGTCGGAATGGCACCGTGGAGCTTCTCATCCGTTGGAAGGGTTATGATCCTTCTGAGGACAGCTGGGTACCTGAGTCCGACATGGGTAACGCCCGTCGTCCTCTGCATGACTACCTTGTCAAGCAGGGTGTTACAGTACTTCTACCACCCAGCTTTGAGGGGGGGAAGTGTGAGAGTACGATCCCGTTATACCACTTGGCCTTTCCTTCCTTCCTATTTCATTTCTCTTTTTATCTTATCTCATTTGGTTTCCTCTTCTCTCTTTTCCATTAACCTTTGGTTTATCCTGCTATTATAATTATATCACCGACCAGGCTTGGGATGTACTGGTGCGCTATATCTAGCATAATCCTGCTGTAATCCCTTGAAGCCAATAGCCTCGCGTGGCTATACGCAGGGTGATTCTATCTTCTAGAAGGGTCTATTCCCTTAGGATAAGATAAACCTGGTTACCTGATGTACTATGGAAGTATAAAAGCGCCTTGTACTGATCGATAGTGGAATCTTTCCTCGAGTCATTCGATCCTGTGACACGTTCCCCCCTCCTCCCCGCCGCAGCTGCTGGCGATCTCATGCAGTCCTTCCCCCTTCGTCACAGTCTGTGCCATGCAGCCGGGTGCCTCGGGCGCTGCCGCCGCCGCTGCCAGGTGCCTCGACACCGCGGGGTGCCTTGACGCCGCCGCCGCCATCGCAGGTGCTGCAGGCCCTACCGCCGCTGCCGCCGCAGTCACCGTCGCCGCTGCCGCTGCGACCCGCAGTTGACGTCGGCGCCTTGATTGCCGAGGGGTCGACCCTCTCGTAGACGCCACAGCTGTTGCAGGACATGAGGGTGCAAGGGCTTGGGGGTGTAGCGTGTGTGGTGTGCTAGCGCCTACCAAGCCTAGTGGGTGTGTCAACATATATACCGGTATTTTTTATAATTTGTTGTATAGGCTTATTAGGTGTTCTACAATACTGAGTCCTACCCTAGAGGGTACAACACCCATCTTGTATCTCTCTCTCTCTTGTCTAGTCTCTCCCCTTTTCCTACATAGCTAAAACCTCTCGCCATTCTCATGCCTAGCTAGCTAAACCTCCTTCAAACTGTAATAATTCGACAGGTGTTGCAGGAGACTAAGTATAGAATCTGCAAACACGAACACTTGGAAAACCTCAAGTGTTAGCCTAGGATCTTTACTGGAATGGTAGACTAGTAAGACAGCGGAAGTCTTGTAAGAGTTAACCTGAGTATATGTTTCTGCAGAAGTTAAGTCTCAAAGTTCTCAAAGTTGAAATCTCAAGGTTAATAATTAAAGGACAGACCAAAGATTTATAGCTCTACGAAAGTACCTGTTTGCTTATGTACCTGTTCGTCACTATCGCGCTATGCGCCCTAAATGATAATGAAGAGGTGCGACTATTCGCGTGACTGAAACGACTGTCCTATGACGAGCGCTATTTGCTCGTCATCCTATAGACTTATCTTCTACAGTAAGATGCGACAATATCTATCGATAAACAACTTACAGAAATGCTAAGTATGAAATATACTGCAGACTATACTGGATTGTGCCTTAGAGGGTACAACACCCTAGTCTATATACCCTTGTACTCACACATTCTAGCTCAATTACTCTTTCTGACATGGTATCATAGTAGGTTAGGCTCCCCCCTAGCCCGCCCACGCTTCCGCCCCCTAGGCCCTAGCCACCGTCGTGCCCCGCTCCTAGCCGGCCCTCCTGGCCGTCGCGCTCGTCCCTAGCCGGCCCCCTGGCTGTCGCGTCCGCCCTTAGCCAGCCCCCTGGCCGTCGCGCCCATCCCTAGCCGGGCCCCTGGCCGTCGCGTCTGCCTCTAGCCAGCCCCCTGGCCGTCGCGTCCGTCTCTAGCCGGCCCCCTGGCCGTCGCGTCCGTCCCTAGCCGGCCCCCCTAGCCGTCGCGTCCGTCCCTAGCCGGCCCCCCCGGCCGTCGCGTCCACCCCTAGCCGGCCCCCTGGCTGTCGCGTCCGCCCCTAGCCGGCCCCCTGGCCGTCGCGCCCATCCCTAGCCGGCCCCCTGGTCGTCGCGTCCGCCCCTAGCCGGCCCCCTGGCCGTCGCGCTCGTCCCTAGCCGGCCGCCCCCATCCCCTAGCCGTCGCGCCCGTTTCCTGCCGTCCCACGGCCGCCCCTAGTCGTCTCGCGGCCGTGGCTCCTCGCCGTCGTGGCTGGCCCTACTCGCCGTCGCGCCAGCTCCTCGCCGGCCCCCATTGCCGCCGTTTGCTGGCCCCTCGCGTCTGCCGTCCGCCGGCCGGCTCCTGTATTCGCGTCGTCGCCAGCCCGCCGCAGCCTCAGGTTCGGCCCGTTCCTCCCGATCAGCACTGCCCTGCGAACCCCCCCGGTACCGTACTAGACCGCCTTGCACCACACTGCACCGCACTGTACCACACTGTACCACACTGTACCGCACTGTACCGCACTGTACCGCACTGTACCGCACTGCACTGCACTGCACCGCAATATACCGTACTGCACCGTATTGCACAGCACTGCATCGCACCGCACCGCACTGTACCGCACTGCGCCGCACTGCACCGCACTGTACTGCTCTCCAGTGCCCTCTATTGTCACTGATGGCGGAGGTGCTTCGCTTTGACGCTGAGGGCCAGTCGATTGAGTTTGATGCGTGGCTTGCTGACCTCCGTCGCCACCTCACTGGTCAGCGGCAGGATGGCCACTCTCTGTCTGTCCATCTTGACGGTACTCTCCCCTGCCCTGACCCCCCTGCTGCATTGTCTACTGATCCCTCGTCCGCTGAGCGTGAGTCCGCTGCGGCCGCTGCCCTTGCTCGCTCTGTCTGGCTGTCCCGTAACGCTGTCGCACATCTTGCCATTTGCAATGCCCTCCCCCTGTCCAAGCGACCTCGCTTCAGGTCTATCACCACTGCCCAGGCTTTCCTAGATGCTATTGTCCGGCGCTATTCCACCCCGCCTGCTGCCTCAGTCGGTCGTCTGATCCTCCCCATGCTCTTCCTTGACCTTGCGTCGTTCCCCACTGTCGCCGACCTGGCCGCTCACCTGCGCACTATAGACGAGACCTGGCGTGCTGCCAGCACTCCCACAGAGCTTCTTGCCCACCAGCCACCCCTCACCTCTACTCTCTACCTGCTAGCCACCCACCTCCCTGACCGTCTTGCCACTGCCCGTGACCACTTCCTTAGCATCCACCCCGCAGACCTCACCCTCACTGACTTTGTTGACACCCTGTCTGCTATAGAGGCCCGCCACCGCTCTATCGCTCAGACCAGCGGTACTGTGCCGGTCCCTATCTTTCAGGGTTGCGCCACCACTCAGTGCACCTTCTCTGACGGTTCTGTTGCTGTGGCTGAGACTGCCGCTGCAGCACACGTCTGTCCGGAGAAGGGTCACCGCCTCAAGGCTGGGCGTGGCGATGGGGGTGGGGGTGCAGGTGTAGGTGGTGCTGGAGCTGGGTCTCCTGGTGGTGGTGCGGACGAGGGGACCCTGCCAGGTGCAGCCGAGCACCTGTCTCAGCAGCCGCCGGCGTTACAGCCGGACTCGCGTCAGCCGCAGCAGCCGAAGTAGTCGCATCTATCGCAGCAGTCGTAGCCGCAGCAGAGACGGGCGAGTGGTCTCCCGCCCGGGTGGCCTGCCGCTGGTGGTAGCGCTGGACGTGGTGGTGGTGCGCGTGGCGGGCAGCCGGGTGGTGGTTCGGGTGACGCGCACTATCAGTACCTGCTCCAGACCGGTCCTCGCCGTCGCTTCTTTTGCGGTAAGATTGGTCACACCTCCGCCCGCTGTTTCCGTCGCCTAGACGACCTGTTTCGTCAGCGTTTCGGCCCGTCACCCGAGCTCCCAGACTGGCACAGTTTGCTTCATCGTAGGGTTCAGATTTTTGATCTGGATATGGATGAGATTGTTATTGCTCTGCATGTGATGTATGCTGATGACTCTAGTGTGCTTCTGTCTTATTACCCCTTGTTGCCTAGTGTAGGTGTGCCTTGCTTAGACTCCCCTGCTGCGTCAGGCGTAGGATCCGCTGCTTTGTTTAGCCTTGGTACTACCGTCGCTGCTTCGCCCTCGGCCGCCACTGCCGCGCTCTCCTTCACCCTCGACTCTGGCACTTGCCGGTGCTTCTTCTGCGACTCCACCACGTTGACACCGCCGCAGTCTCTCTTGCTGACCCCTCCTCCGGCCCAGTAGTCGCCCGCAGTTCCACCACCCTCCCCTGCCCGGCGGTTTCTTCAGGCTTGCTCATAGGACTGCACATCCCCTCGTTCTCTAGGAACCTAGTTGGTGTCGGCTGCCTTCATAACCTTGGCGTCACCACTACGTTCCCTGGAACACGAGCGGTACGCTGTCTGTATCGAGTCCGCCGCTAGTGCCCCCCTGTCCACGTTCCCACGGGACCCAGTGTCCGGCCTTTTCACACTGGACACGGTGACCCCCCTCGGCTGGGACCCCCCCTCAGGTGACTGCGTCTCCCCCGGTAGCTGCTGCCTGCACCTGTCGGTCTCTCACTCACCCGACTCTTCTCTGGCACCACCGCCTAGGTCACGCTGCGCTCCCGCGTCTGCGTCACATTTCACAGTACGGTCTCGTCCTAGGCCTCTCCGGGTCGTTCCCCGAGTTTCCCTCCTCCCCAGCCCCACCTTGCACGCCCTGTGTCGAGGGCCGGCTCCGCCGTGCCCCTCACTCCTCCTCGTTTCCCCCTACTGCAGCACCGCTACAGACTCTGCACATGGACGTCTGGGGCCCCGCCCTCGTCCATGGGCCGCGTCGAGAGCGCTACTTCCTAGTGCTTGTCGACGACTACACGCGCTACACCACGGTGTTCCCCCTGGAGCGGAAGGCCGACGTGCCTGACGTTCTTATCCCGTGGCTTGTCTCTGCGTGTGTCCACCGCGGTCTCCCTGTCTTGCGTCTCCACTCCGACCGTGGTGGCGAGTTTGGCTCTGGCGTCCTTGGTCGTTTTTGTCGTGCGGAGGGCATCACCCAGACGTTCACCTTGCCAGACTCCCCGCATCAGAAAGGGGTCGCTGAGCAACGCATCGGTTTGGTCATGGAGCCTCCATGATCCATGCCGGGGCACCCCATTTTCTGTGGCCGTTCGCCGTTCGCTACGCCGCTCACCAGCTTAACATGTGGCCGCACCCCCAGCAGCCTCAGGTTTCGCCGACCCTCCTCTGGACTGGGTCACCTGGTGACCCGTCTGTGTTCCACGTCTGGGGCTGCCTTGCTCATGTTCGTGCCTCTGGCACGGACAAGCTCACTGCCCGCACCCTTCCCTGTGTCTTCTTCGGCTTCCCCCTTGACGCGTCTGACTTGCACTTCTACCACCCGCCGTCTCACCGGTTCTTTCACTCTCGTGACGTCACCTTTGACAAGTCCGTCTCCTTCTTCCGCCGCTTCCCCCACCGAGGTCCCCCGGTTACCCCCCCCCCTGTTCCTGGTCACCCCTTCCCCGATCGTCGCCGCCCCTCCTCCTCCCCCTCCCCGTCCTGCCCCCTCTGGTGTCACCTACGTCACCCCACTTACGTCGGTTGTCCCGGTTAAGGAGTCTGCTGACTCTGGTGGTCCTACGGCGCAGTCCTCGCCGCCTGCCCCTTCTCAGATGTCTCCTCCTCTGCCGCCTCCGCAGCCGCCGTCGCCACCGCTGTCGCAGCCGTCGTCACCGCCGCCGCCGCCGCCGCAGCCGTCGTTGCAGTCGCCGCTGCCGCCGCCGCAGCCGTCACCGCAGCAGTTCGTTGCCTCTGGGGGTGCTGGAGTTGCGGTGGGTACTAGTCCTGGGACTCCTGTCGTGGCTTGTCCCGGTGGGCCTGGGGGTGGTACCGGTGCTCGAGGGGTTCTGAGCTCTGGGGGTGTTCCTTCTGGGGGTGCTGGCGTGGAGTGTTCTGGAGGTAGCTGCCAGGCAGCTTGCGGTCCCGGTGTCGGTGTCACACCGCCGCCGCAGCAGTCCCCGCCGGTGTCTGCTCTTCGCCTGCTCGGCCTTCCTTCCCCTGACCTCGTGCCTGTGCCTCCTCCTCCTCCTGTTTACGGCCCTGTGTTCCCTCCTCTTGACTCGTCTCCGGCCCGTTTCCCCCCTCGTTCCCCTTTTGTGTCCCCTCCTCTGTCCTCTGACCCGACTCCACCGTCTCACGTCTGGTCTCACCGTCCCTCCCGTGCTCGACCTGTCTCCCCTGTCTCGCGCTCTCACCCTATGTTGCTTCGTTCCCACGCGTTTCGTCCTCCCCTTCTCCCGTCGCCCCCTCCGTCCTCCCTTGTCGTTGCTCCCCCCCCTCTGTCTGACTACCTGCGTGCCATTCGTCCTCTTGTTCCTCGGGTCCTTGCCTCTCTCGTTACCGACCCGTCTGTTCCGGTTTCGAGCCTTGACGCCCTTGTCGCTGCGGCCGCTGACTTCGCCTCTACCCGCCGCCTTGACTACGCCACCGCTCTGGTCTCTGACCCTGCCTGTCCTCCGTCTGTCGGGGGTGCTCCTGCCCTCAGCAGTGACGTCCTGGAGGACCGCCAATACGAGCTTGCTTTCCTCTCCGAGGCTGCTCCCCATCTCTGCTCTATGCTTCTAGTCCCTGAGGGTGACCCCGACGCTTTCGACATCCCGACCCCTCGCACTTACGCTGAGGCGGTCTCGGGACCCTGGGCCTCTCAGTGGATAGCTGCCATGGAGCAGGAGATGGCAACTTGGAGATCCACCGGCACCTACATCAACGCAGTTCCCCCACCTGGGGTGAACGTAGTCGATGGCCGCTGGCTCTTCAAGGTGAAGCGCCCCCCTGGAGAGCCGCCTGTGTTCAAGGCGCGCTACGTGGCTAGAGGTTTCAGTCAGCGTGAGGGGGTGGACTTCTTCCAGACCTTCGCTCCGACCCCGAAGATGAGTACTCTTCGGGTGCTGCTACACGTAGCAGCTCAGCGTGTCTACGAGCTTCACTCCCTCGACTTCTCCACTGCGTTTCTTCAGGGTAGTCTACACGAGCAGGTCTACCTGCGCCGCCCTCAGGGCTTCACTGGTACCTTCCCTCCTGGGACCCAGTGGCTCCTGCGGCGCCCCGTCTACGGCCTGCGGCAGTCTCCCGTTGAGTGGCACGACACGCTGCGTGCTACGCTTGCTGACCCTCAGTTCTTTCTGTCCTCTGCAGACCCCTCGCTCTTCGTTCGTGCTGGCCACACCCCGTTCTACATCCTTGTTTACGTAGATGACTTGGTCTTCGCCACAGCGGACAGGGACGCACTGGCCTCCGTGAAGGCAGAGCTGTTGAAGAGACACACTTGCACTGACCTTGGAGAACTGCGCCACTACATTGGCTTGCAGATCTCCAGGGACAGAGCAGCGCGCACCATCACTTTGACTCAGTCACACTTGGTGCGCCAGGTCCTTCAGAGGTTCGGCCTTCAGTTCTCCTCCGCACAGCCCACTCCTCTGCCTCTAGACCACAGGCTCTCCGCTCTAGTTCTTGAGGAGTCAGCAGAGCTCAGTGGTCCTTACGCAGAGCTGGTGGTTTGCCTCATGTACCTGATGACTTGCACTCGTCCAGATCCCGCATACCCTCTCAGCATCATGGCTCGCTTTGTGACTACACGCAGACACCTACCTCAGCACTGGTCTGCCGCTAAGAGGGTTTTGCATTATCTTGCAAGTACATCGGGCATGGGGTTAGTGCTAGGAGGACGCAGGCCAGTGGTCCTTACTGGACACACAGACGCTTCTTAGGCAGACGACGCCGAGACCCTCAGGTCCTCGCAGGGCTACTGCTTCAGCCTTGGTTCAGGTGCCGTCTCGTGGAGAGCTACCCGCTCCTCGTCTGTTGCCCAGTCCAGCTGTGAGGCCGAAATCTACGCCGGTGCCACGGCGGCACAGGAGCTCCGCTGGCTGACCTTCTTGCTCACTGACTTAGGTGAGCGGCCTAGCTCTGCCCCGGTCCTGTTCGCGGACAACATGGCCATGATCCTCCTGTGTCAGTAGCCTCGACTCGAGGGCAGAGCGAAGCACATCCAGCTGCGGTACGTCCTCCTGCGTGAGCTGCAGCAGCGCCGCCAGGCGCGCGTAGTACACTTGGCCTCCGGTGCCAACACAGCTGATATCTTTACGAAGGCGCTTGCGCCTAAAGATCACCAGCGGCACTGTGTACAGCTAGGTCTCGTTCCTGTAGCCTCTCACTTGCTAAGGCCTTGACTTTGTATTGTCCTTTATATATATATTTTACCCAGACTGGCCTTGTGGCCTCTCCCAGTGGCTGGACTAGTAGTGCCGCCCTGGTCTTGCTCTTGTTTTGTCTGTACTCATTCGACTGGTCTTTAGACCCTTGCCTCAGAGGCTGGACTAGTAGTGCCGCCCTGAGCTGCTTCTTTCCCTATTAGGCACTGCCCCTATATAGTCTAGGGGGTGTGTCAAATGTAACTCTGGTCGTTACTGTAGACCATACTGGATTGTGCCTTAGAGGGTACAACACCCTATTCGATATACCCTTGTACTCACACATTCTAGCTCAATTATTCTGACACACAACACAAACAAGGACGACGCAAAGCCTGTTTCCTGAGCTTGCGCTGGAAAATTTTCACCACTCAGCATGCGCCAAGCAAGTTTACCTCATTTGCCAAATGCGCTGACGCGAAGTCTCACCCAGACCGCTAGCTAGCTGGAAAGGGGTCTCATGCTACAAGCGCCAAAAAAGGGGGTCCTCAATATCTGGATGCGTAGGATAAGACCCACCCCGTTAAAAAGATCCATGGGGCTTAAATTTCAGGGAGTCCTTTAGCCGAGCTTATACGGTAAGATAATGCATTTGCCAAAAAAGCAGCATCCATGGTAGATGTACGGTAAGTGGGAGGGAGGAGATGAGGGGGGAGAAGGGAGGGGAGAGGAATGTGGAGCAAGGGGAAGAAGTGAGAGGGAAAGGGAAGGTGAGAGGAAAAAGGGAGAGGGCAGGGTGGGAGCAGAGAGCGCGAGAGGGAGCGAGGGATTGAGGGACCACAGCACAATTCACAGTGGGCTCTTCGTTGTCTGCCACTTGACTTCAGCAGCACCCCTCCCTAACTCTATCTACCGCCCCATGGAGCGGTTAAGCGGATCCTTTTGTCTGGGAGTGGGAGCAAACTTCATGCTGCCAGCCATCATCGCGCTCTCGTCCCGATTCCCCTCATACGCCACTCTGAGGCGCGGCCGTGCTCCCCCCCCTGCTGCTGCTGCTGCTGCTGCTGCTGCTGCTGCTGCTGCTGCAGCTGCCCCCCCTGCTCCCCCCGCTGCTGCTCCCCCCCCTGCTGCTGCTGCTGATCCTGCATTTGGCCCATGATGCCGCTCTGCATGCCCATGTGCATGCCCATGCGTATGCGCATGTGCATGTGCATGTGTCTGTGCATGGCCATGTGTATGCCCATAACCATGGCCATGGGCATGGCTATGACCCTGTGCCTGAGAGTGATGCATGTGGGGGTGCTGTTGATGGTGGTGCCCTGCTCCATTTGATCCCACGGTTCCTCCGACTCCTGTGCTTGAACAACCACCACCACCACCACCAGTACCAGCCACTTCCACATCTCGCCCCTCAGCCTCATCCTCCTTCACTCCCTCCATCCCCCTCACACCTCTCCCCCCTACTGCTCTCTCTTGCTGCTTCCCCCTCCCCCCCCCTCCAATACCCGTTTCACCGATTTCTTCCCCCACTCTCCCCCCACTGCTACCTCCCCCTCCCCCTCCCCCTGCTCCTCCCGCGCTCACGCTCCCCCCTCTGTCCGTAAACCTGGCCCCAAACGGCGGGGCGAATGCAGGCACACCTGGGGAAGGCGCCACCCCAGAGGAGGGGCCTGGGGACTCGAGGACGATCCCACGAGCAGCAGTGGCGGGGAGCATGAGAGGGGTGGGCCCGATGGACAGCTTGGCAACGGCTGCTGCAGCGGCTGCAGAGGAGGAGGGGGAGGAGCGCACGTTGGCGCCAGGAGAGGAGGTCACAGCGCCAGGGGGGGGCTGTGCCGTGGAGGAAGGGGAGCCGAAAGCGGCGGGCGCATGGGAGGCGGTTGCAGGCGGGGAGGAGGGGGCGGAGGACGGCAGAGGAGTGTCAGTAGTCACCGTGGCCGCGGTACTGCTCTTATTGGTAGTCTGGCTGCCGCCACCACCGCCGCCGCTGCTGCTGCCGCTGCTGCTGCTGCTGGTGCCATTAATGCTGCTGCTGGGGTCTCCCACCCCAGAAGCCATGGGGGGGTTGGAAGGGGATAAGGTGTGGTGGAACGGAACCCTGTTGTGGAGCGTTTTGCAGGCTGCAACCAACCAAGGGAGTGCGGCGGGCGGCAGAACAGCGCCGGAAGTCCAGCGATCAACGGCTACTACGAGGTATCAGATTCTCTGCCCTGGAGAGAACCGTTTCTCGCTTCTATGCTCGTCTTCTGCCGTGCTCTACTTGTGCGGCTGCTGCTGCACTGCACCTGCGAGATCGGATGAAGATGGGACGAATGCAATACCCGTCAACAGAACGCGCACGTGCTGCCCGGGAGATGGGAGGAGGGAGGGGAAGGCAACGTACGGAGGACAAAAAAAGGTAGGTGAGCAAACTCGGTGGGGGAACGGGGAACGAGGAAGGGCAAACTCGGTGGTGGGGGAACGAGGGCAGACCTTGTCCGTACGGACGGAGGCCTCACCATCTCATTCAAAGAGAGGGCGGGAAGCGCGGGGGGGAGGGGGGGGGGGCAAGCAAGAGGAGACGGGAGATGGTAAGGTGGGAAACAGAGAAACAGACCAACCCTACTGTTGGCACCTCACCAATATCTGGCTCTGGTAAAAAAAAACCGCTCGCGGAATTATCGCCTTAAAAAAACCGCTCTCATACTGCATTGACCACCCAGGCGTGACACGAAGACGAAGGAGCCAAAGGCAAGCCGGAGCAAAGCGCAACGACATGCAGACTGGTTTTGAGCCTTCTATCAAACTAGACTTCTGCCAAAACTAGACATTCAGCCCTCTGGTTCAAAACTAGACATTCAGCCTCAAAACTAGACATCTATCACGTGGCATACCCGAGCAAAGCGCAACGAGATGCAGACGGCGCTTGACGAGCCTAGGCATTATCTAGTGGTTCGCACAGGTAGAACTTGACTCGACGATACCGTTATAACTTATAACGACACGCACGGACTATATTGCAGCGACACGGGCCCAAAATTACTACCGCTTGATTGTTTATTCGCGAAACGCAGACGGTTTCGCGGAACCATGGCGAGCGTGCGACGCTGTTTTCTGGCAGCGGAACGGCTGACGCCTGGTTAAATGTCGCACGGTCGAATGTCGGTCGCACACCAAGCGGCCAGCTGGCGCAACGTGATTGGTAGCGCGTCTTCGAATGCATATGCCGCCGCTACAGACAGACATGCGAGGGAGAACATCGCGACATCTCGAGGACTACGAGCTGGCCTTAGCGATGGCTTTTGAAACCATCACATCTCGACGGCGCGACGCAATGCCTCACGACTCCAGTACAGCAGCGAAAGAAAGAGCCTCCATTCTTCCGACCGCGAATACCCACTGCACTTGAAAGCTATGCAGCTATGTAACCATGCAGCTATGCAGCTATGAAGCTATGCTCTTCGGTTCACTACGATAAAGGAAGAAATGTTCTCAACTTAACCCCCACCCTAACATTGCCGCTCTTTCTCAGCAGATTCCCGCGTGGCGCATCAACAAAAACGGAAGGAATAAACCGATGGGACAGGAGAAAATCTAGACCCTTAACTAGAATCACAAGACACAGGCAAGGAAACGGAGAGAGCCATAGGGAGAGAAGCAGGCTATCTTACCCGGGAGCGCGAGGAGCGCGGGGAGGTACCAACGGCTGCGAATCTGACGTGGGAGAACCCTAATCCGGCAGGTCAGCTTGACAGCGAAGCGCGCAAGATCGTCGCTTCGCGTTGAGCAACGGAGGCGGCCGCCAGACCAGACACCCGCCGCGCGAATACAGGTATCAGATCTGGGCCGCGGGAGAGCTTCGGCAAAGAGAGAAAGGGTAGACTCTAAAGGGAGGAAGCTTGGCTTGAATCCATGTGGCGTTGAGGCTGGTTTGGTCAGGTCAGGTGTACCTACAGGTATGCACTACTGCTGTCTGTAACTATGGCAGTGCAGTGAGGGCTTGTGTTGTGTGCAGGGGGGAGTGATCGAGTGACCACCAGCTCTGCAGAGCTGAACTGAAGGGGGGGTTGTTGCGTTGTGCCACAGGTGAAAGTGAAACCAAAGGGGGCGTGCTGCGCGCACCAGTCGTGTTGTGGGAGGAGGCGCCCCTCGCTCTCCGCCGGTCCCCCACCCCCCCGGGCCCCGGGCCCTTCCCCCCCCCTTTTCCCCCATTCCTTCCTTTCGCGAGGGGGGAATGGAGGGTGGGTGCGGGGAACCGGAGCCTGGTTGGTACAGTGGTTTCGTTCGTAGCGTACATGTCTAAGGATGGAGGCAACATAAAGGGAGCATGGGTATAACTAGCCTTGGCATAGCTACTGTTATGAATTATAACTCAGAGTAAAGCGCAGAATATTATAGGGGAACGTGATTACAATGTGTCCTATCCAAATGAGACCTAGGGCTTATATAGTGCGAGTTGACCGTCTCAAACTGAATAATAGATAGAATAGGAGAGTACAAGGTAATATAAGCTAGGGATTTGTACCCTCTAAGGCACAAACTTGTATAGTCTACAGTAACATACTAAGATAAGTTTGACACACCGCCTAGACTATATAGGGGCAGTGCCTAACACGAGAACAAGCAGCTCAGAGCGGCACTACTAGTCTAGCCTCTGAGGCAAGGATCTAAAGACCAGTCAATAGGAGTACAGACAAAACAAGAGCAAGACCAGCGCAGCACTACTAGTCCAACCACTGGGAGAAGCCACAAGGCCAGTCTGGGTAATACATATATATAATGTCTGTACACAGTCAAGGTCCTAGAAAGTGCGAGGCAACAGGAACAAGACCAAGCTGTAAGCAGTGCCGCTGATGATCTTTAGGCGCAAGCGCCTTCGTAAAGATATCAGCTGTGTTGGCACCGGAGGCCAAGTGTACTACGCGAGCCTGGCGACGTTGCTGCAGCTCGCGTAAGAGGAAGTACCGCAGCTGGATGTGCTTCGCTCTGCCCTCAAGTCGAGGCTCCTGATACAGGAGGATCATGGCCCTGTTGTCAGCGTACAGGACCGAGCAGAGCTAGGCCGCTCACCTAAGTCGGTGAGCAAGAATATCAGCCAGCGGAGCTCCTGTGCCGCCATGGCACCAACGTAGATCTCAGCCTCGCAGCTGGACTGGGCAACAGACGAAGGGCGAGTAGCTCTCCACGAGACAGCACCTGAGCCAAGACTAAAGCAGTAGCCCTGTGAGGATCTAAGGGTCTCGGCGTCGTCTGCCCGAGCAGCGTCTGTGTGCCCAGTAAGGACCACTGGCCTGCGTGCTCCCAGCACTAACCCCAAGCCTGATGTACTCGCGAGATAACGCAAAACCCTCTTAGCGGCAGACCGGTGCTGAGGTCTGTGTCTGCCCGTGGCCACGAAGCGAGCCAGGATGCTGAGAGGGTATGCGAGATGTGGACGAGTGCAAGTCATCAAGCACATGAGGCAACCCACCAGCTCTGCGTAAGGACCATTGGGCCCTGCTGACTCCTCAGGGACTGGAGCAGAGAGCCTGTGATCTACTGGAAGAGGTGTGGGCTGTGCGGAGGAGAACTCAAGACCGAACCTCAAAAGGACCTGGCCCACCAAGTGTGACTGTGTGAGAATGATGGTGCGCGCTGCTCTATCTCTGGAGATCTGCAGGCCCAGGTAGTGGTGCAATTCTCCTAGGTCAGTGCAGGTGTGTCTCCTCAGCAGCTCAGCCTTCACAAAGGCCAGCGAGGTGGTGTCTTTAGTGGCAAAGTCCAGATCGTCTACGTAAACAAGGATGTAGAACGGAGTCTGGCCAGAACGAACCAAGAGCGAGGGGTCTGCGGAGGACGGAAAGAACTGCAGGTCTGCAAGGGTAGCACGCAGCGTGTCGTGCCACTCGGGGGGCGCCTGGCGCAAGGCGTAGACTGGGCGCCGCAAGAGCCACTGAGTTCCAAGAGAGAAGGTACCAGTGAAACCCTGAGGTCGGCGCAGGTAGACCTGCTCGTGTAGACAGCCCTGAAGAAACGCAGTGGAGAAGTCGAGGGAGTGTAACTCGTAGTCACGCTGTAATGCTACGTGTAGCAGTGCCCGAAGAGTAGTCATCTTCGGGGTCGGGGCGAAAGTCTGAAAGAAGTCCACCCCTTCACGCTGACTAAAGCCTCTAGCCATATAGCGCGCCTTGAACACAGGCGGCTCTCCAGGAGGGCGCTTCACCTTGAAGAGCCAGCGGCCATCGACTACGTTCACCCCAGGTGGGGGAACTGCGTCAACGTAGGTGCCGGTGGATCTCCAAGATGCCATCTCCTGCTCCATGGCAGCTATCCACTCAGAGGCCCAAGATCCCGAGGTCGCCTCAGCATAAGTGTAAGGGGTCGGGATGTCAAAAGCGTCTGGGTCACCCTCAGGGACTAGCAGCATGGAACATAGATGGGGAGCAGCCTTGGACAGGAAATCAAGCTCGTACTAGCGGTCCTCCAGGATGTCACTGCCGAGGGCAGGACCACCCCCGACAGACAGAGGACTAGCAGGGTCAGAGACCAGAGCGGTGGCGTAGTCAAGGCGGCGGGTAGAGGCAAAGTCAGCGACCGCAATAACAAGAGCGTTAAGACACGAGACCGGAACAGACGGTTCGGTAACGAGAGAGGCAAGGACCCGAGGAACAAGAGGACGAGCGGCGCGAAGGTAGTCCGACAGAGGGAGAGGCGCAACAACAAGGGAGGATGGAGGAGGCGATGGTAGGAGGGTAGGATGAGACGCGTGGGAACAAAGCAGCATAGGGTGAGTGCGCGGGACAGGGGAGATGGGGCAAGCACGGGAGGGACGGCGAGGCCAGACGTGAGACGGAGGAGTCGGGTCAGGCAACAGAGGAGGGGACACAGGAGGGGAACGAGGGGGAAGACGAGCCAGATTCGAGTCCGGGGGAGGGAACACAGGGCCGTGGACACGGAGAGGAGGAGACGACAGGCGAGACGCAGATGCAGGGTCAGGGGACGGAAGTCTGAGCAGGCGAAAGGCTAACACCGGCGGTGACTGTTGCTGCGGCGGCACGGCACCGACTCCGGGACCGCAAGCTGCTCCACGGCTACCTCCAGAACACTCCACTCCAGCACCCCCAGAAGGAACACCCCCACAGCCCGAAGCCTCTCGAGCACCGGTACCACCCCCAGGCCCACCGGGACAAGCCACGACAGGAACCCAAGGACGAGTACCCACCCCAACACCAGCACCCCCAGAGTCAACGAACTGCTGCGGCGGCGGCTGCAACGGCGGCGGCCGCAACGACGGCTACGGCGGCGGCGGCGGCGGTGACGGCGGCTGCGACAGCGGTGGCGACGGCGGCTGCGGAGGCGGCGGAGGAGGGGACACCTGGGGAAGGGCAGGCGGCGAGGACTGCGCCGAAGGACTACCAGAGTCAGCAGACTCCTCGACTGGAACAACCGACGTGAGGGGGGTGACGTGGGACACACCAGACGGGGCAGGACGGAGACGGGGAGGGGGAGGGGCAGGGGCCACCGGGGAAGGGGTGACGAGGAATAGGGGGGGAGTAACCGGGGGACCTCGGTGGGGGAAGCGGTGGTAGAAGGAGACGGGCTCGTCAAAGGTGACGTCTCGCGAGTGAAAGAATTGGTGAGACTGCGGGTGGTAGAAGTGCCAGTCTGACGAGTCAAAGGGGAAACCAAGGATGACACAGGGGAGGGTGTGGGCAGTGAGCTTGTTCGTGCCAGAGGCACGAATGTTAGCAAGGCAGCCCCAGACGTGGAATGCAGACGCGTCACCAGGAGACCCGGACCAAAGAAGGGTCGGCGAAACCTGCGGCTGCTGGGGGTGCGGCCACAGGGTAAGCTGGTGAGCGGCGTAGCGAACGGCGAACGGCCACAGAAAATGGGGTGCACCGGCATGGATCATGGAGGTACGAGCCACCTCCATGACCAAACCGATGCGTCGCTCAGCAACCCCATTCTGCTGCGGGGAGTCCGGCAAGGTGAACGTGTGGGTGATGCCCTCCGCACGACAGAAACGACCAAGAACGCCGGAGGCAAACTCGCCGCCACGGTCGGAGTGGAGACGCAAGACAGGGAGACCGCGGTGGACACGCGCAGAGACAAGCCATGGGATGAGAACGTCAGGCACGTCGGCCTTCCGCTCTAGGGGAAACACCGTGGTGTAGCGCGTGTAGTCGTCGACAAGCACTAGGAAGTAGTGCTCTCGACGCAGCCCATGGACGGGGGCGGGGCCCCAGACGTCCATGTGCAGAGTCTGTAGCGGTGCGGCGGTAGGGGGGAAGGAGGAGGAGTGAGGGGCACGGCGGAGCCACCCCTCGACACAGGGCGTGCACGGTGGTGCTGGGGAGGAGGGCAACTCCGGGAACGACCCTGGGAGACCTAGGACGAAACCGGCTGTGACATGTGATGTAGACGCGGGAGTGCAAGGTGACCTAGACGGTGGTGCCACAGGAGTGTCGGGTGAGTGAGCGACCGAAAAGAGCAGGCAGTAGCCACCTGGGTAGGCAGCCACCTGAGGGGACGTCCCAACCAGGGGGGCCGCGGTGTCCAGTGTGAACAGTCCGGACACCGGGTCCTGGGGAACGTGGTGAGGGGAGCACCAGTAGCAGCCTCGGTACAGACAGCGTACCGCTCGTGACCAGGGAACGTAGTGGTGACGCCAAGGTCCTGGAGGCAGCCAACACCAATTAGGTTCCTGGAGTACGAGGGGATGTGCAGGCCTGTAAGAGAGCCCGAATGAACCGCCGGACAGGGAAGGGTGGTGGAACTACGGGCGACTACCCAGTCCACTTGGCAAGTCGTCCAGGAAAATCTCGGGATATTCCCGAATGATTTTTGCCAGGTCATCCGGGACCAAAGCGCAGAGTTTGTTAATGTCAGTTGCCTTGTTCTGCTCCGTTGATTCGGTTTGATGGACGGCGTATAAATCCGCTCCATTCTTGACCGCTCGCTTGAGGCACACATCGTTGATTCGTGTTGAGGTTGTCTCTGTTTCCGGACTCGTGAGTAATTTTCGCCAGCCTTTTGCGCACTTCAC